TGTTCCGAAACATTCCAATTTCCGCCCAGAAAACAATTTTCCCTCGAGCTGCTGGTCTTCGACGCGCCGAACTGGGCGAGGTTTGCCTGAGCGAAACCGCCTTCTAGAGTCGACGGGCAGAAATTCGCAGACTGCGCGGTGTAGCTAACCGGCAGGTTGTTGAAATAATTTCCGCTCAGATCGTAAGTTGCCTGAGCGGTGTTTGCGAGCGAAGCAGAGGCGAAGGAAGAAAGCGGAGTTCCACTGAACTGGTTGTTGCTAACGTCACTGTCGGAAGCAAAACAAGACAACGGAAAAGCAGTTAAGCCAAGGGGTCAGAATGAGAAGCGACGGGGCGATATTAAATAGGAATGAGAAGCAGGGAACGGAAGCGTTAACGTAGAAGATCCGAGCGCGAAAGAACAGATCAGCTGTGACGCAAAGCGTCGCCCGAATAGTACCCCTAAAAATCGTGAAGAACGGCTAAGAGTGACAAGTTAGAAGAGCAAGACGTACAGGAAGACGAGGCCGGAAAAAGTTCCGAAAGCGGCGGGGAGGCTCCCATAAAACTGATTTCGGCTAATGTCCCTGTCATGCAAAGACGATATTTGCATGTGGAAGATAGCGAAATCAGGTCAACGGACAGAATCTCGATAGCATCCAAATTACTGCAAAAAGAATCGAGTGCAACGAAAAAAAAAAAAGGATTAGTTACTTACAGTGCGACGAGAGACTGCAGGCCGACGATACTCTCAGGAAAAAATCCGGAAAACTTATTGTCTCCCAGAAGCCTGAATGTAAGTCATTGTTCAACAGAAACCGGAAAAAGGAACCAAAGCTGAGCAGGATGAAGATGAATGTGATGAAATTGAAGCTCAAAGACCTGTAGAAAACAACTGTAAAGACAACACGATGAACGACTGAGAGAAAAGAGTGTGAAGTGTATTACAGTGACTGGAGTTGGGAAAGGTCGAGGAGAGACGGTGGCAAGACTCCAGTGAAGCCATTAGATCCGAGGGCTCTGCATCGGAAAAACAATCGAGCATGTATTGTAGCGAGCTTTGTCAGCACCAGAAGCATGAACCGTTGACTGAAAGGAATCTCATAAACAGCAGGCGGAAACAAAACAGACCGACGATGATCGGATCCGCAAAGGACGACGTACAGAGTGGTGAGAGCAGTGAGCCTACTGAAGACGTTGGGTATTGCTCCGGTCAGGCTGTTTGAACTTACATCCCTGAACGGAACAAGAAGAGAATTTGTTACGACAAATACTAGGTTGGCCGAACGAAATATTGGATACAGAAGCTAGCTGTGAGCTAGATGAGTATTGACGACGCAGGTAAATGTGCCGGCATGCTTACAATATCCGCAGGTTGACCAGAGAGGCTATGCTGCTTGGGAGTTCACCAGTCAAGACGTTTCCGCTAAGCGACCTGTCGAATGGGAGAATACAGAAGAAATTAGCCAAAGCCGACATCAGATGCACACAGACCCTGTGCAGGCCATGGGAGAAACCAGCCGCATGGCAAGAATAATGTGTGCGAGACGATGGAACTGCAGCAGGAAATAAAAAGGATAAGGCGAGGAAGGTCGGCAGGGGTGACGGTGAGAAGAGAGGCTATATCAGGAATATCCAGGGAAGATGAGAGAACGGCCACGTGGTCGCAGTGAAAGGTAGAAAATGAAGGAATCTTATGCTTACATATTCGTCAGCGCGGTCAAGAATCCGATGTCAGCAGGGATATTGCCAACAATAAGGGTGTGGTCCAGCGACCTGCGGCACGTCAGCAGATAAGAAAGTATGAGAAACTGAGGAGCGGACCACGGCACGCGATCAATGAAAACAGGAAAAAGAACGCGGTACGGACCACGCGGACGAAACAAAAAAAAATCGGACATTTCCCTCCGTCCCTGGTTTACCCACCTCCCTTTCTCCGCTCCCCCATCCCTAAGCTTTTCCCCCCCGCGCCTGCCCCATCTTCCCTTCAGCCCAAAAAACAAATTCGTGGGGACTTTCTGCTCTCTTTCCGAATCGCGCATACAGATTCTGAAGAGCCGTTAGCTGAGTCACGGCGGCCGGAATCGAAGCTCCCCGGAGCTCAGTTCGTCCTGGGAACTCTCTGGAAGGAAACACAAAACAAAACATTTGCACAAGGAGGAGGGGCAGCGCACGCAGATGGATGAGGGGAAGCGGCAGCGAGAAATACGATGTGTAAACACACGAATTATGGAAAGGAGCAACGAGGCGTTGAAGAAAGAAACGAGACAACGTACAGAGAAATGACCTCGCCAAGCGAGTTGCAAGTGAGACCGAGCCATTGCGAACAGTCTGATGCAACAAACCACGTCTGGCTCAGCCGTAGGGCCGGGCCCCACGCGTCCAAAATAGCTTGAAGAGCAGGTTCTGCAAGCACGAACAGCAATGCATTCCGGAAGAGTCGTAGGAGAAACGTAATGCTGAGCCAAGAGATTCTAAACACAAACGCCGTGATGAGATCCTGAAGTGAACGGCGCCGAGATTCTTACTCTGAGAGTCTGCGACCGCCTGTGCTTTGACGGGAGGCGAGAACACGACGAGGAAGCTAAGCGCGAGAACCAAAGCTCTAAGTATGTCGGGATGAAACGGATGTCTTCTCTGGAACAGCCTCATTGTGCTTCTATGAAGGACTCAGTATGCTGGTTGCTGGATCACTTCGCCCGCTTCCTGATAAAACCGAAGAGAAATAGAATCGGTAGAAATGGCTCAGGAGCTAAGAATAGACCGACAAGGCAATTCCACACAAAGCGACATCTCACATATCTGCTACAGCTAATGTGATACGTATGAGGATTTCGGATCGCTCAGTCCGCTGACTATCGAGCAAAATGAGAGATGAAACTAAATGTGTGCGTTCTGTCAGTTGGAACAATCACCTACACGAGAAGGTGACTTACCAAGGATCGCAACGAGAAGTCACTAAACAAAAACCTGACGTTTCGGAAACTAGGTTAACGTTTCGGAAATTACGTGCGGTGCCCTGATAAGCAACCATACGTTCTAGACTAGGGTTCCTCAGCTATCAGCATCAGCATTATGGTAGCATTGAAGCGAAGGGAGCTGGAGAGGGACGGAGGAGAAGAGGGGAAAACCGCGTTTGGTCATCTACTGTGGGTGCTGCCTCTGGCAGAGTGCAAAATGCGTCATTATTTCTTGCTGTGGGATGGGATCAGGGAACACAAGTCAGGGCTCGAGCGGAGGGGAAAGAGCAGATGAGCTCCACTGTAGCCGTAGACAGACGACATGGACGCTGAAGTGGGGGAGACGAAGGGCTCTCAGGACTACATTTTGGTGTACAGTTCCATCATTTTCCTTCACGGAAAGCCACTCTAACATCGGGGCAATATGAATTTCTGTGGCTGGGTGTAGACTTCATGAATTGTAGCTGACACATTTCTCAGTAAATGGTGGGTCGTTCACTCACGACAGCTACCTGCACCTTCATAGATAATCACGTAAAAGGTGAAGCACAGTGAACTACCACTTCGGGCAGGAAGCTCCAAACTAATATTGTGACATCGAGTGAAGGCGGTTGGTGCGCGGGACTTCCCTTTGAATGGCAAGGGTTTGGTCACGACTCACGTCAGGTGCTTCAGGTTGTAGAAACATTGTGGGGGCCCCGCTAGGGTTTGGTTGCCTCGCTGCCTCCTTTGGGCTGGTCGCTTGCTCGTGCTGATAAGGACTGAATTCAGCAGGAGAAGGGTCGTTGGTTCTAGGGCCGAACAAACGCGTTCGGCCAATCAGCGTCCTCGAAACCAAGTCATGTCCATGGCAGACCCACAGACTCTAGGCGAACAAGACATTCCTCTCCACCACACCTACTCAACTCACTCTACTGTACCTCACACAATGAGCACCCCAAAAGGCAAAACAAACCTTGTTTCGTGTTGCCATCTGATCAGAAGGGCAACCTCGTGTCGACTCACGTCACGAACGCACTAGCGCACTGAACGAATCATGAAACTATCGCTATTTCAGAGGGACACCCAGGGAGGACAAGTCAGGGGATGAGTAGACCAAAAATGTGTTCTAGAACCACATGGCAAATGGGAGTGAGGGGTCGCAAAGGGGCACGTGATGACATAACAGACAAATCCCGCAACAAAACGGAGGGGGTGTGCAGCGTTGGCATGGTTGTATGGTGGGCCTTCTTGTTGTGGTTTGTTCTTCTCAGTGCTCATCCACACACTTCCAGTTTTCCAAGGCCGAAAATGTGCTGCCTAGCAGGGTCCAGACAGGATCCACGGCAGCGGGCAGCTGCCGAAAGATTTTTTCAGTTGTCGAGAATCAGAATCCGCCAATCCTGCCTGCTGCACGGGGCGCAGGTTGGTGATCTGGTCCATTGTCCAAATTTGCCTGGTTTCATTATATGCAAAAGTACAGTGGTTGCAGCTATAAGCCTTAAAACAAATGCATGATTACAAGCACAAGTACACTTCCATGTCTGCTATTGAAAACATGTCCCAACAAATGCATCTGCTCCAACACCATGGAGCAGCCACAACCCGTGTCCAACAGTCCAAAATTCTCTTCTTGATTTGCTCCCTTGTTGAGCTGCATGTAGAATGGAAGTCAACGGTTTTGCGCACAGCACAACCATCAAAGCGCCATCCATGACGCAACGCAACAACAGCAGCACCATTGGCCAGGGAGCAACAAAATACTCAATATCAATTTAATATACGCAAGACCACTACGCCCACCTCCCCCCTCTTCCTATACATATCCAACACCTGCTGCAACGACAGACTTGCTTATCACCTTGTGCCATCACCAGCTGCTTCAGAGGACTACGGTATTGAGTCGACTCAAAAGTCATCCCATGTTCTGCACCCTAAGCTCACCCCCCTCAACCCCCCCCCACCCCCCCCCCCCCCCCCCCCCCCCCCCCCCCCCCCCCCCCCCCCCCCCCCCCCCTCCATCCAACAGCTGCTTCTGAGGACTTTTTAATCAACTGAAAAATCATCCCATGTTCTGCACCCTATGCCCACCTCCCCCCCTTCTTTCTATGCATATCCAACACCTGCTCCAACGACACAGGTACCCACACGTGCTTATCATCCTGTGCCATCAGCAGCTGCTTCGGCGAATCTATCACCAGGCTGATCGTGCCAAACAAAAACACCGGCATGCCCTCGTGCGTGCGCCCGGGTTTCGGCAGGAATTTCACGTCGTTCTGCAACGCAAATCGCTCCACGACCTCTCGTAGAGAAAGCTCCTTTTCATCCTCTTGATGCACCATCCCCGTCCTCCCGCCTCCAGCCCCTCTCCCTCCTGTCAACGTGCTACCACTGGTTGCACCAGCACCACCCATCCCACCACCCCCACCAACCCCACCTGCTGCAATACCAGGTCCCCCAGCACCAGCACTGCCTGCACCAGTTGCACCCCTCCCTGCCCCTGCCCCATCTGCAAACGCCTGCTGCTCCGAAACTCTTAAGTAAGAGACGTTCTCCTTCACGCCGGGTTGCAGAACCGGCATCCCCTCTACAGCCTGATTCATCATGTCTAAAGCAACGTTCAACTGCTGCCGCACCCTTTCCGAGCTTAAAAGCTCGGCGGGAAAAAGCGCCTTCCATCCCAGATACCACCGGGTGACTTCATCGAAATTAGGGTTTGCACACAGCCAATGGTAAAGCACCTGGTGCCACTGCGGGAAGAATGCGGTGTCCAGCAAGGCGATGAGGTGGCGCGTGGGGACCACACCCGCCCACGACATGGCCCAATGAAACGGCTCCAGCTGCTGCTGCTGCGGATTCACTAAGAACTCTGTTTGCAGTAAGTGTATAAGCTTCGGGACAATGGATCGACTCACTAGAGTGTCCCAGCTAGCCGCGTCAAATACGGATTTCCACGGAGCGAGCATTGCAAGAGCAGACGAGTCGGATGGGTGCCAGGCGGTGAGGGCAGACCCGAGCCTGAAGCGTATGGTTGGGTAGAGCGTCTCGAGCTGCGAGCCTAGGTACGGCAGCCACGGGTGCAGCCACTGGTGGACAGGTACGGTTTCCAGCCTCGGGTCCCAAGCCTCCACTGTCGCTGCCAGCTTCGGGAACACCAGGTGCGCGAGGATCGTTCTCAGGAGGACAGATGGCAGCACCGGAGCGCGCCACGTGTCGAGGAAGTTCAGGAGAGGCTCGGGCTCCCGAGGCTCCCAGAGATTGACCACTGCGGATCTGACAGCTGGCAGCACAAGATCAGCGACGAGGCGGGCGTATGGGTCCATGTCAGCAGGCGCCCCTCCCACCCCTCCTGCGGCTGCTCCCGGCTCTGCCACCGAATCAGCCAGTGCCACGTCAGCAAAAATCGCCCCACTCTCTTCGTCGTTCTCACCTCCTCCTCCCTTCGCTCCTCCTCTTCCTCCTACGTCTCGTGCGAGCACGGAACGCCAGGAGGACAGCACAGCGTGACCGTGGGAGGGGTGAGCAAGAGGATTCCAGGTGCGGAAAAGCGGAGCAAGACGGGGAAGCACAAACCCCAACGCCACCGCCGAGACATTATACATCTTGAACTCCTCGGGATGCTGCTCCCTCAGCCTCCGCAGCGTGGCCAATGGCATGGCGACAGATGTCGCAATCGCGTGCGAGTCCTGCGCGAGGGCTTCGGCCGACGCCGTCGATGGCGGCGGCAGCGGCGGAGGGGCAGACGACAAAACATTTTCCAACACGCCGACGATTCTTTGGAGGTCGATCAGCTGCTGCGCCTGCTGCTGCATGCGCTGCTGCGTGCGGTCGCGCTCCTGCTTGAGAGCGGTGAGCGAGTCTCGTTGGAACCTTAGGCGTTTGTCGATGGTTTGAATGTCTGCCTCTGCTAGATCTACCACCAGTCGCAGGTTGTGCTGCAGCTCCGGCATCGGCGTGTCGTCCTCCTGAAGCTTCTGCTCCTCGTTCAACCGGTCCATGTTCGTCAACACACGGACCTGCGGGGACAGAGAGAGGGGAGAGCATATCAGACATAAGAGTGAGGTTGTGCTGCAGCTCCGGCATGGGCGTGTCATCCTCCTGAAGCTTCTGCTCCTCGTTTAAACGGTCCATATTCGTCAACACGCGGACCTGGGCAGCGAACAGAGAGAGTGAAAAGAATAACAGACACGAGGGTGAGGTTGTGGTGCAGCTGGGGGGGCACGTCACACAGAGATAGACGAGCATACACGACAGGTGACAGGGTTTGTGCTGCAGCTCGGGCATGGGCGTGTCATCATCTTGAACCTTCTGCTCCTCGTTCAACTGGTCCTTATTCGTCAACACACCGACCATTCGCAACAAAAACGGCATACCTGGGCTCCGCACGTGTCCAGGATCGTCTGAGTCACCTCCCGCCCCTCCGCCTGCTTCTCTCATAAGAGACTTATCTCAACTCGACTACAAAAAGCCAGTCGCAACAACAGCAACCCACCTGTGCTCCGCGCATGTCCAACAGTCTGAGTCACTTCTCTCCCCTCCGCATGCTTCTCATATTATAATCTTATTGTCAAGTCGACCACAAAAGCCAGTCGCAACAACTGCAACCCACCTGTGCTCCACGCATGTCCAGGATCGTCTGAGTCACCTCCCGCCCCTCCGCCTGCTTCTCTTCCAGCAGCTCAGCCGCTGTCTTATACTCCTTCCTCCTCCCAGCAAATTTCTTCTTCCATAGCTTCTCTCTCCCTCTCTTTTCCACAACCTCCAAAGCCACTCCCCCCTCCCCTTCCCCTCCCAACACCTCCCCGTCTTTCCCGGACGGCGGGGGTGGTAACCCGACTTCTTTCTCCTTGAAGTCGTTAAAGCCCATACCCATGTTCTTCGGGCGAAGCTTCGCTTCTATCGGCTTCGCTATACCCTGCTGGTTCTTACCCAGCCCGCCTCCCTTGTACCCCATCTTCTCTAAAAGCTTCATCCCTATTCCTTTAGTGTGCTTCTCGAACGTTCCAACCCCATGAGCAGCACCCTTCCCTCCCCCTCCCCCACCTCCAGAGCCGAAAAGCCCGCCAGCAACCCCTTTATTCGCCTTCTGCTGCGCGAAAAACGACGCCTCTTGCTTCTCCTGCTTCGCTCGCTCCCTCTCCATCTCCCTCCTCTGCTCTGCTCGCTCCCTTAGCCGCTGGCCGAAAGCAGTCTTGGCTAAGTGATCCTCTTCCTCCTCCTCCTCCTCTCCTTGTGCCTCCCCCTTGGCTCCCAAACCTGGCCTTTCAGGTTCGGAACCCCCGGACGTGAATCCCAAGCCTGCTCCACCAAACCCGAGGCCCGTCCGACCCAATCCGCTCCGATCCTCATCCTCTGCCGGCTCCTGCGGCTTGGCTCCCAATCCGGGCCTTTCCTCTACAGCATCCCGATCCAGGTTCGGATTTACTGTACCTTTCGACACGAAATTAACGGGTTTCGTAAAATCGCCTTTTCCCATCAGATCGTCTTTTCCGCGACGTTTCTTCCTCCGTCTCTTACCCCCACCGCCGAATCCCTCCTCGTCGTCGTCATCTTCGTCATCAGATGCTTCGTTGAAGACACCGTAAAGGACGTCGTCGCGGGTCTGCTGACGGCCCTGACGGCGCGACGAGGAGAAAAACTCTCCGTTGATAAACTGGCCGTCGTCGAAATCTCCGTCCAGGCTGAACCGCATCCGCTGCTCTCCGTCACCGTCAACGTCCATGATCGAATGCCTTGGAACGAAAGCGCTTAATGGCCGCAATAGATACCTTTGATTCGATAAGCTCCAAACAGCTACACGAAACCTTTTTTAGGGCAAAGGAGCAACGGACTCCTGGTGATGTAAGGCGATCTGCGCATACAGAAAGCTGATCTCCTGTGTTATGGCGGTCACACAGACGATGTTGGAGACGATCATACGAGATGCAGCAGAACTTCACCTGCAAGCGGTTCCGTAAGGTTCTTTACGTTGTACGATGGTGAATTAACATCAAGAACGGTTCCAGAAGTTCGAGAGCACGAAAATATGCCCTTGGGATGTTCGGTTGTACGCGCTTGCTGTCCTCGTTGCAATGGTGTCGACACAGCACAGCGTAGTCTTTCTTAGTGTAGTGGGTTTTACCACGTGTACATTCGCGAAGAAGCAATGGTAGATAGAGATGGTACAAAGCATAGGTAATAAATGCAGTCCCCAAATCAAACATACTTACAGTATATAGCTAATATTATTCATATTCTAAATTATACATTACATATTATTTCTATTTTTTGTATACTACAGATATACTATATTCTTCTTCATACGCCTCACCCTCCTCATCTTCTTCATTCCCATCCCCTTTCATTTCATATTCTTCATCCTCTTGGCACTTCCTCGTCACCCTCTTCATCCCCGTTAGTCTTGCCTTCTTCAACGTATACGTTCCCTTATCCATCCTCACCATCCATTTCATCATCATCCACTTCTCCTTAAGCTCCTAGTTGGCCATCCTTACCTCCACCCTGCCATCCTTATCTCCACCCTCCTATAAAAGCTTTCTCGTCTTCATCATCCTCTTCATCCTCACATGCCATCCCCGCCATCAAATCTAAGCACGCATCATACTCTCCATTATTCTCATCATCGGTCCACTCATCCTCCTCGTCCTCTTCCTCATCCTCCCTCTTCTTGATAGCCCCACCCCTAAAAATTCTCTTGGCAATCTCCTTTGAAAGAAGAGGGCATGCGCAAATCGAACACTTGCGCAGTGTTAGCATTTCCTGGGAAGGTCCCGGCACCCAAACCAGTTTCTCACAGTAGCTCACATCCAACTTCTTCAGCTGGGGCAGCTTCAGAAAGGTTCTGGGCAGGCTAGAAAGGTTAAACAGCCCCAAAAGCACCAAAGTCTGGAGAGACGAGAGCTTGTGGATATTATCGGGCAAGGATGGAATTCCCAGGTTGGCCATTGCACAGTGCTGCAGCCTTGACAAATTGGTAAACGAAGCTGGAAGCTTGACCAGCCTGAAACACCTGATTAATCTCAACGTCTCCAGTTGCTCCAGCTGCCCGAGCGACTTGGGCAGGGCAGAAAAATCATCGAGCTCCACCAATTCGAGGACCCGCAAGCGGGAAAGCGATCCAACGTTTTTTGACAGCTCTTTCAGCCTCCTGCAGCGTAAGATTCGGAGCACTTGCAGGTTTAAAAGGCCGGATATGGAGTCGGGGAGCGAGGCCAGTTTCTCCATACACAGAATCTCGAGGCTTGTCAGCGACGTGAGGTGACCAAGAGACGGTCCTAAGGATTTGAATCGGAAACCCTTAGCAGTTAAACTTTGCAGGGATGGAAGCGGCACTCTGCTTTCATTCCCCATAAGAGTGTTGCTGCTGCTGACGTTCGCAACCCTGCGCCTGCTGCTTGCCCTATCGGTGCTGCGCCTGGCCCTAGAGGTGCTGCTGCTGGCCCTAACCGTGCTGCTGCTGGCCCTAGCGGTGCTGCTGCTGCTGCGGTTATTCTCATCCTCTAGCAAAGTGCAGGCCTTGAAACACATCCGCACGTCTAGCACCTGCAATCGCGGCAGCTCAACCAGCGACCGAGGGATGCAATCCAAGCGCTGTAGCTTCACGAGCCTCAGCTCCTGGAGTGATCCCAGCCGTCCAATATCCTCAGGCAGTGATTCTACCCAGGGGCAGTTTACCAGTACCAGGCTGGTGAGGGAGAGAAGGCCGGAGACAGAGGCAGGAAGGCCAGAGAGGTTACAGATGTCACGGAGAGACAACGCCTTCAGTTTCCCCAAGCGGCCCAACCCCTCGGGCAATTTGCCTTTGAAGCGGCTTGCCCTCAGGATGCTCAGGTATTCGAGAGAGGACAGGCCGCAGAGGGAAGGAGGGAGGCGGGTGAGGGATCTGCAGTGGAGAATATCTAACTTGCGCAGATTCGGCAGCCCGTTTCCCATGCTGCTTGGTAGTGAGGTGAGCCGCCAGCAATCCATCAGAAGTAGATGCTCAAGGGATAATAGTGTGTATAAAGACTCGGGCAGCTGCCGCAGCAGATGACACTCCATGATTCTTAGATCTTGAAGATTTGTCAGCTGCCCCAAAGACTCGGGCAGGAATGTGAGTTTTCGAAGGTCATTCAGGTGGAGAGACTTTAGAGCGTCCAGCTGCCCCAATTCCTCGGGCAGAGAAGTCAGATTTCGGAAACCTTTGAGGGAAAGCTTTTGGAGCCAATCGGCCAGAGCCATGGAATCAGGCAGGCTTGTAACGTTCGCAGCAGCCAACGAGAATGTCTGAAGCTCGGGCAAACTCCAGATTTCAGCAGGCAGCTCGGAAAGCTCGGGGAGGCGAAGATTTAGATCCGTGAGGGAAGGCAGACTGAGGAGACACCGAGGCAGAGCCGAAATGCCGAAACAGTTATTCATGGTAACCCGCTTCAACCGCTGCAGCTGCCCCAGAGAATCGGGCAGGCTGGGCGTTAGACCAATATCCTCCAGGTGTAGAGTTTCGAGAGCGTCAAGCTGCCCGAAATTCTCGGGCAGCGGATAAACGACTGCGGACTCTCGAATCTCCAGAACCTCCAGGGATGAAAGATCGGGAAGTGAATCGGGCAGCAGAAGCATCAAGAAGCCACTAATGGAAAGACGGTGTAGATTCGCAAGTTTCCCAATAGATTCCGGGATTGGCATCAGCGAAGCGCAGTCTTTAAGCTCCAGCGATTCCAGAGATGAAAGTTTTTTCAGATTTTCGGGAAGATCGTTAAGCTTGGGCAAGCGAAGCACCAGGTGTCGGAGTGACTGTAACGAAGTGAATGTATCGGGAAGGATCTCGACTTGTAGGGCGATGAGGTGGAGTTTCGTGAGGGAAGCGAGGCGGCTGATAGGAGGGATGGCGGTGAGATGATCCGGACAGTGCAGATGAAGGTCCTGGAGACGAGTGCAGTTGGTGAAAAGGCGGGAAAGTCCGTGCTCGGTGAAAACTCCGCCGCTGTCGGATTGACCGAATGAGTCTGGCATGTAGAAAGCGACGTGAAAATCGGTGAGATCGCGACACGTGTCGGCGATGCAGCAGAGGAGGTCATCAGAAACGGCGCGCAGGCTGCCAGCGGGGAGGACGACCTTTTTTATGTTGACGAACCGCGAAAGCTGCGTACGTAGCTTATGAGGGCCCACGAAACGGTCCGCGTTTAAGCGGACGGTGGATCGTAAGCGACACGCGACGTCGTGCCATCGCTGACAGACGCTAGCGTAAGTAAACTGACCGTCGGATCGAATGAGCAGAGTGAATATCTTCAAAAGTAGGTCGTCAGAAAGCCGTTGGATTGGCGATCCAACCGGCATTTTGAGCAGCAGAAGGTGGAAAAGCTTAACTGGCTCTTGCTAAGTCTGGTTTCTATCTTAGGTCAAGCTCACACTAAAGATAGAAGTCACAGTTAGTTGTTTTCAGCAGTGAATGCTAAGCAACCACAAGAGAAACCTGAGCATGGCCTGTTTCGGAGAGGCCTACGACCCGAAATCTAAGGACATCGAAGATAGCTGTCTGAAGAATAGCTATCGAAGGAGAGCTGTTCGAAGAATAGCTATCGAAGGAGAGCAGTTGAAAGAATAGCTATCAAAGGGGAGCTGTCCGAAGAATAGCTGTCAAATGAGAGCTGTGTGAAGAACAGCTACCGAATGAGAGAGAGCAGAGTGAATACTTTCGAGAGTAGGTCGTCAGAAAGCCATTAGATTGGCGATCTAACCGGCATCCTGAGCAGCAGGAGGTGGGAAAAAATAGCCGGTTTTCATACTTCGGTTGATGCTTCGAGACCAAACCCATAGTTGTCCTGCCTGACTCAGCGCGTCCCGAAAGCGTGTCCCGAAAGAGTGGTGTGACTGACGTGGTCTAGAAGATTCATATTCCTGGTCGGCCTGGTCTGTGAGATTCATACACCCTGTTTCGCGCTAGCAGAGCATCTGGTTGCAGAACATGCACTGGTTGTAGAACGTCACCACGTTTGAAATGGTCTTATCACCGACGGTACAAGCACATTCACAAGAAAGCGGTTAGCTAGGATGCTGCATGGTAAAGAACATTAACCAAGCGTTTCAAAGCGGTTGAAAAGGGTATACAGCGATAAAGAAAAATTTTGCCCCCAGTACCACTCCGTCAGCTGGTGCGGCTTTGCCCGCAGGTTTCAGCCATACGGTTTATGGCACCTGACCGCACTGTAGCAGCGAATCGCGCAAGGTGAGAGGGTCGAGAAACAGGGTGTACATCCCTGGTCCGAAATTCTGGTCCGACGGACAGACTTCCCAGTATCCGGTACGGCATCGCTTCGTTGCTAAGAAGTTCGGGGCAACATAAAGTAACGAAATAAACTTTCTGGTATGAGTTGAACCAACAGAGTGCAAGGAAATAGTTATTAATGAGATTGTGATCACGGAAGCTGTCGGTACAATGAAAGCCACGGGCATTCATAAAGGGGTTCCTATCAAAGCGAGGACCTCGGAACATCCCCATTAAGGGATCTCGACAGAAGACCTCTACACCGGGGGGGGGGGGGATTCTTTGCCGGGAGTTTACACTAAACTGTAGCACCCAAATAGTATGTACTGTTTGACAATAATCTCCTCCCACCCCCCCAACCCCCTGCTACCACACTTGTATACTACGACTTTCTGACCCTCCTTATTATGAGCACAACTGCTCTCTTCCGCCTAGTTTTCCTGGTCTTCCTCATCCTCCTCATCCTCTTCTCCATCCTCACCATCCCCTTCCTCATCATTCACTTCTCCATAAGCTTCTAATTGGCCATCCTCCTCTCCATCCTCCTCTCCACCCTCCCCTCCATCCTCCCCTCCATCCTCCTCGTCATCCTCCTCGCCATCCTCCTCTTCATCTTCCTCGTCCTCATCATCCTCCCCCATAAAAGCTTCCTCGTCTTCACCATCCTCTTCATCCTCACTACTCTCCATCCCCTCCATCAAATCCAAGCACGCCTCATACTCTCCGTTTTCCTCCTCGTCCGTCCACTCATCCTCCTCATCCTCTTCCTCATACTCCCCATCCGCCCCACCACCCCCCTCCTCCCTCTTATTGACAGCCCCCCCTTTGCAGATTCTCTTGGCAATTTTCCTTGAAAGAAGAGGGCATGCGCGAATCGAACACTTGCGCAGCATCGGCATTTCCCGGGAAGATCCAGCTTCTTCCCGCTGGGGCAACTTCCAAACCAGCTTCTCACAGTAGCTCACATCCAGCTTCTTCAGCTGGGGCAGCTGCAGAAAAGTTCCGGGCAGCTTGGAAAGGTTAAACAGCCCCAAAAGCACCAAGGTCTGGAGAGAGGAGAGCCTGTGGATGTCTTTTGGCAGAGATGGAAATCCCACATTAGCAAAAACACAATGCTGCAGCTTTGACAGGCTGGAAAACGACGCTGGAAGCTTGACTAGCCTGGGACACCTGATGATTTTCAACGTCTCCAGCTGCCCCAGCTGCCCTAGCGACTCGGGCAGGCGAACCAAATCATCGACCTCCACCAATTCGAAGACTTGCAAGCGAGAAAGCAAACCAAGGTCCTTTGGTAGCGCTTTCAGCCTCCTGCAGCGGAAGATTCGGAGCACTCGCAGATTCGAAAGCCCGATATGGAGTCAGGGAGTGAGACCAGTTTCTCCATTAACAGAACCTCCAGGCTTGACAGAGATGACAGACGGTTGAGGGACGGTCCAAAGGACTGGAAGGGAAGATCTTTAACGTTCAAGCTCTGAAGGTACGGAAGAATCACTTTGCTGACGTTCCTTCTCAGATTGTTGCTGCTGCTGGTGCTCGTAGCCCCGCGGCTGCTGCTGCTGCGGTAGTCCAAGGTCCTGCTAGCCGCCGTTTCATCCCCTAGCAGAGCGAGTGCTTTGAAACACATCCGCACCTCCAGCACCCGCAACTGTGGCAGCTCCACCAGCGATCGCGGGATGCAATCCAAGCGGTACAGCTTCGAGAGCCTCAGGCTGAGCTCCTGAAGTGCGCCCAGCCGTCCGATGTCCCCAGGCAGCGATTCTACCTCCGGGCAGTTTATCAGCACCAGGCTGGTGAGGGAAAGAAGGCCGGAGACAGAGGCAGGAAGGCCAGAGAGGTGACGCATGGCGCGGAGTGACAACTGCTTCAGTTTCCCCAAGCTGCCCAGCCCCTCTGGCAATTTGCCTCTGAACCGCATTGCTTGTTGGATGCTCAGTAATTCGAGGGAGGAAAGGCCGGAGATGGAAGGAGGGAGACGGGTGAGGGCTCGGCAGTCAAGTAGCTCTAACCTGCGCAGATTCGGCAGCCCGTTTCCCATGCTGTTTGGTATTGTAGTGAGTCGCCAGCAATCCAACAGAAGCAGGTCCTCAAGAGATAATAACAAGGATAAGGTTTCGGGCAGCTGCAGCAGTTGATGGCACTCCATGATTCTTAAATCTTGAAGATTTGTCAGCTGCCCGAAGGACTCGGGCAGGCAGGTGAGCTCTCGAAGGTCAATCAGGTGGAGAGACTTCAGAGCGGCCAGCTGCCCGAATTCCTCGGGCAGAGAAGTCAGATTTCGGAGGCTCTTGAGAGAAAGCTTTTCAAGCGAAGAGGACATATTGATGGAAGTAGGCAGGCTTCTAACATTCACAGCAGCCAACGAGAAAGTCTGAAGCTCCGAGAACCTCCAGACTTCAGCAGGAAGCGCGGAAAGCTCGGGAAGGAGTAGATATAGTTCCGTGAGGGAAGGCAGGCGGAGGAGACAACGGGGCAGAGTTGAAATACTGAAACAGTTCTTCATTGTAATCCGCTTCAACCGGTGCAGCTGCCCGAAAGACTGGGGCAGGCTGGGCGTTTTTTCAATATCCTCCAGGTGTAGAGTTTCGAGCGCGTGAAGCTGCCCGAAGTTCCGGGGCAGCGGATAAACGAATGCACACTTTCGAATCTCCAGGAACTCCAGGGATGAGAGATTGGGAAGCGAATTGGGCAGCTGAAGCAACAAGAAGCCGACGATGGAAAGACGGTGTAGACTCGCAAGTTTCCCAAGGGATTCCGGGATTGGCATCAGCGAAAGGCAGTCTTTCAGCTCCAGCGACTCCAGATTAGTAAGACTTCCGAGATTCTGGGGAAGGTCGTTCAGCTTGGGCAAGCGAAGCACCAGGTGTCGGAGTGATTGTAACGAAGTGATTGTATCGGGAAGGATCTCGACCTCGTAGGCGGCGAGGTGGAGTTTCGTGAGGGAAGCGAGGCGGCTGATAGAAGGAGGAATGGCGGTGAGATTTTCCGGACAGTGCAGATGAAGAACCTCCAAACGAGTGCAGCCCGCGAAAAGGCGGGAAAGTCCGGGCTCGGTGAAAACTCCGCTGGTGTCAGATCGGCCGAATGAGTCTGGCATGTAGAAAGCGACGAGAAAATCGGTAAGATCGCGACACGTGTCCGCGAGGCAGCAGAGGAGGTCATCGGAGACAGCTCTCAGGCAGCCAGCGGGGAGGACGAGCTTTCTGAGATTGACGAAACGCGCAAGCTGCAGAAGTAGCTGACGAGGTTCCACGAAGCGGTCCGCGTTCAAGCAGACGCTGTCTTGTACGCGACACGCGATGTCGTGCCATTGCTGGCAGACGCTAGCGTGACTCAACTGGCCGTCGAAAATAATATCTAGGGAGAGGTCTCTGATCCAGCAAAGGATGTATTTGTGTATGCATTGAACCCTGCGCACGATGAGTTGACATGAAGAGTTGGATTTTGAAGGTTAGCTGCTTTGAACGATTTAGATTGCAGAGAACGCTACTGAACCGTACTAGGTCGCAGAGTTCATGCGTCATTTGCTGCAGTCATGTGAATCGTGGTGGCGTCAAATTTCGAGAGTCCATCGTGCGAGTCGCGGCCATCCATAGCCTAGTCACGGTCAGGGAATTTCCAGTGACGAGATCTGTTCAGGGTGAACGACAATCGCCAGCTTCGCTTTATCTCGTAGACGTGGTATACCTGCTCCGCTATGGCTCGCACTGCACCTGAGCGTGCGATTGACGAACTTTCAGATGGGATTGCAGGCAAATTTGAAAGGGAAAAGATCAGAAAGAAAGTGGCCGAATTGGGGCCTCGTGAGTCGCACCCCTACTACGTTCCCCCAAAGCAACCAGCACACCTAGGCAGGTAGGCCGAGCCTGGCCTTTTCGCCAGGTCACCACCTACTGGCCGGGGGCTGACGGAATTCGCTAGTGACTCGTCATCGTAAATTACCCAGAAAAACAATCGTTTAACCCAGAAAAAACAACATTGATATGGTAAAAAATATAAACCCCATTCGTTTGGCATATATTTGGGGAAGCATCAACCCTAAACACCGTGCGGCAAGATGTTTAGGGCTGAGGCCCTTTCGAAGGCATGACGCACGAGAAAAAAAAATCGTCAATTTTTAAATGTCGAGTCAATTTTTTCGATGTCGTCAAGGAAGAAATCGTCACCTTCTGTGGTCAGGTCTGACGGAGCGCGTGGATGAGGCTCGAAACTCGTTGGGCACAGGCCCGGCCCAGGTTCGACTCCTTGCGAAACACAAGGCCCCAAGTCGGCAACTTTTCTAGAGCTCTGGGGCCCTAATATGAACATTTCCCAATTTGAAAACACGAATCCCCTCGGTAACATCGCTTTCGCGAAGGCTCCAGAAGTGGGTGGTCGTGACTCGTGTCATCTCAGTTATCGCTCCAGAACAACCATTGATTGGGAGGGAGTCGTGTTGAGCTTTCGGGACGTGACAGACCTCGGCCTCGTCATCCAATAAAAATCCGCGTTCCTTGTTTGGCTGTCCTGGACTCGACACCCAATGAAACGATCCCAACCATTTCGCTGGCCTCGTTTATAACGGTTTTGTGAGTTAACTCGCATTTCATAGCGGTTCAAACGGCTGACCGTGTCTGAACAAAAGACACTGTGACGAAAATGCCGAACAAGCCTTGGAAGAAACCACACTTGGCTGGAACATTCCCCAGGTGGAAAGGGAAACCAAGGGGTGGTGGTTGCTTCCAAAGGCGGACGACGGTCTTCAGCTGCTGTTTTCGTGCTTCATGTGACCCTTCTGTGCTTCAGAGATTCTTGGACGCGACAGCTTACAAGTAGGACGAGGATTACAGCTTACGAGTGTTTGCTCAGACGTGTGGTTATTTTGGGAAGCTCTCCGTAGCAGCTTCTGCTGGTTGTGCGCAGTCAGGAAGGTGCTACTGCAGCTGTCCTTGTGTGACTGAAGCTAGAAAGTTGACAGCCGTAATTAGGAGATTTTTTTTTTTCAATTCAAAGCGCTCTTTTCGGATTCTGTTGTCGCGTAACATACACACACATAGTCGTCATGGTCCGAAGTGGGGGCTCGTTCGGGGATATCGAGTCGGGAGCTGGCGGGGCCATGAGGTCCACAGCGTATGCGTCGGAGCAGAGCAACGAGGAAGCGTTGAGTCAACTGGAGGAGAGGGCTAGACTAATCAAGGAGGTAGGAGAAAAAACGGCAAACGTTGGACATTCACGGGTAACGTGGAATTGGCGAAAAGGGATAAATGTAAAGGTTGAAAACAATAGGGCTGTTAGGTTGCTTTTCTGGGAACGAATTGGGACCTGCATATAGTTCCGCTGTGACGTATGTCTTGAAGGGATTAAGTTTGCGATGAGAGACGGAAGGCTTGCCGATTTTCTGTTGGAGTTGAGAAAGAGAAAAATGGTTAGACGTTTGAGCTTCAACGTCGTGAGAGACGTTTTTCACCGTTTCTTATGTTCCCTATTAAACGGTGTGCTTCCGTCTTTTCTCAATCACTTGTCCTTGTGCCAGTTAACTAAAGACATTCATGGCGAAGTTCAATCACAAAATCGGTTCCTGGATGGCATGGTGAGTAATTAATAACTGTGACCACATTAGGTCGCAACTGTTAATGCATACCCGCTGTGCTTCTAAATTCCTCTGCCTTAACTCTCCAGTTCTGACATCGGTTTGATCGGTCTATTCCGGAACCAACTTCACTGGTCTGCTTTATTTCAGGGACTGGAAATGGACTCTGCTAGAAGGATGCTTGCTGGGACAGTGGATCGTTTCACAAAAGTAAGCTGATTCACCTCTTCCCCTTCTGTGCACCTGCTTCATTTCACAACTGCTTTCGCATCCCTTCCTATTCTGCCGTCCAGCTTTGCTTTGTATTACCGCCACCTCTCTGCTCACCGGTACCTCGGCTGTCCTCATTGTTTGGCACTCTTCTAAATTGCAGGTGTTCAGTTCTAAGCAGAATCGGGGCTTGGCAGCCGTGGTTGTGTCGTGTGTAACACTCTTTTTCATTCTTTACTTCTTTACAAAGCAATGATAACACACTGCCAACTATACTTCTGTTCTGTTGTGTCATGTGTTAAGTTTTTGCGTTTTTATAGGCTATTGTAGGTTGCTACCGTATGATTGTTCTGAATAACGAAATGTAATAATTAAGGTACAAAGGCAAAAGCTTCATCAAGTTTTGCTGTGTTGATATTGAATCTAGCCACAGATAGACGTTTGGGTGGTTCTTTCTGCTTTTGTGTTTACGTCGAAAGCGTACTGAACCGCTACCAACCTCCCCGCCGACCTAAAAGTTACTAAAAAGATGGCTCACGAGGTGGTTTGCGCTTCGTAGTGGTTATAAAAATTCACAAACGGTTGAGCATGGTTTTGAGTGATCGAGAACCTCTAGAACACATTCTTGCTCACCAACCTGATCCCAAAAAGCCTGATCAGAAGATAAAGCACATTCTAGACCTAGATATCTCCTGCATTCCAGTTCTGTAGTGGAAGTTATCACCACGGTCTAGTCCTAGATTCCATCTCCAACTTTAATCAGCGCTCTTGAATCGCAGTTCTATTTTGTGATTCTTCGGGAGCTTGTTTCCTGTGGTCGCCGCGTAAGACGCCGTGCTCTGGTTTCGGCCGCGCATTTGAAGTTGTGTTCACATTGACACCAAATAACTCCTATCTCCTGCTCGATCGAGCTTGCCACCATGGTTGCACCGTTGAGACGCTTCCTTGGTTTTCTTCTAGCTGCCGTGATCGCCATTTCGTGCTGCCAACGGGGTTGTCTGGCTGTCAAATTCGAGGTCACGGCCTACTCGAAATGTTTAGGGGAGGAGATTCAGGAGGGAACCCTCGTTGTAGGAACATATTCTATAGTAAAGCACGACTCTCATGGGAACCGGCTGGACGAAACCGGCAGGGTCACAGCCAAGGTACGTCTCGGCTACTTAGGTTGGTAGAATTATATGTTATAAGTTTGTTTCCAAGGCCTCCGGTTGGATTTATACTACCCGCTTTCAATGCCGAAGGTCGGATCGCAGATCGCGTCGTTCAACACGGTCTCTCTTTTTAATTTTTGTTTGGTACGCACGTTGATCAAGTTATGTTTTTTTTATAACTCCCAGTATCTTGAATATGGCTCTGTTGTTCCCCCATTGCTAGAATCCGCTCCCTGTCTTGCCACTGCCTTTCCTCTCCTCCTGCAAAAAGGCAGTTTCTTTCGAAACTTCCGCATCTCCCCCTGCATCTCATGTATCTCCTCCTTGCCATTTGAACGAAATAGCAGTCCTTTAATCGCGGTTCCAGCATTCCGGTTTGCATAGGCATTTATTTTCCAAACTGCTAACCTTGCGTGATGGCATGGCAAGTGACGACATTGTACAGCCATCACATGCATTGGCACGACATCGTGGAAGATGGCCACTATGACAAAATCTGGACCTATGCGTATCAAAACATTTTCACCTCCGCCTTGCATAACCACATGGCAGGTGACGTCACCGTACGGGCATCAGCTGCACTGGCAGGACAGCGTGGAAGAAGGGCATTTCGGATTCACAACCAAGGAGACGGGCCAGTACATGGCCTGCTTTTGGCTACCCGTAGACCATCCGCAAGAGATCCACAGCGTCATGGTGAGGAAGCCTTGAAACGTCTAGTTTTGAGACGTGATATTCTGAGACGTCTCAAAAGTTGTGTTTGCGATCAAGGAGACGGGGCAGTAGTTGGCATCTTTCTGGCTACCCGTGGACCATCCGCAAGAGATCCACAGCGTCATGGTGAGAGAGCCAGTTGGGAAAGGCTAGGAAGGGTCAAGGCAAGGGGATGAACAATGAACGGTTAAAAGCTCTATCAATAGCACATTGACGTGTGTGCACATCACTTGGCCATGTCTACCAGAAATTGATGCCACCAACATACACATTCACTTTGCTTCACACATCTTACAGCATGATTCATCTTACACGTTCTGCTCCAACGTTCTGTGTGGTGATGCTACAGGTTGAGCTTGAATGGAAGATTGGTGTAGCAGCTAAGGACTGGGGCAAAATCGCCAAGAAGGATAAACTTGATGTGAGTCATTACGGTCTGAGAAAAATGTTTTGCATTGTGCATGGCTGTTCTAGGTGCACATGAACAGATCGTTTTGTACCATGAACTTGGTCAGATTTGGAAGGGGTAATGGCTGTGAGGGTGATTGTTTTGTGCTTGACTCTTAACCTGCATGCCTATGATGTGTGTGTGTTGTAGTGGGTGTTGTTTGGCTAGATTTGAACATGCATGGTCGGCCTGTGCTCTTCCCAACCGTTCTAGATTGTTCAGTGTGATGCTATAGCCTGCTTCGAAATATTTTGTCATGGTACTGTCCTCATTCTCCTTCACTCCACCCATCACCACCATGCCTGCACTGTGACGTGATCATTAAGGGCATCGCCCTGGAGCTCCGCAAATTGGATGAGGCAGTGAGGTCCATTCGGGGGGAAATGGCATACTTTCGCAAGAGGTAAGTGAATCCCTGCATAACTGAGAGTAGGAGTACCGTACTTGCGAGATGGGGAATTCGGAAAGTTCTATCTTGGGTCATATGAGGGGAGGTGGTCGTTTGCTGCATAGATTGTGATGGCAGAGGGGGCCTTGGAGTGTAATGGTGATAAGGCTTTGAATCAATCACGGTTGCAGTGTCAGCCGTTGGTTTGCATAGATATTGCTACGTTTTCTTCCTGACAGGCCACCTTTTCTGTCTGCCTTGTCCTGCTTAAAACCTTCTGTTCCACCCACCAGAGAATCGGACATGCGTGATTTGAATGAGGTGACCAACTCAAGGGTGGCTTGGCTGAGCATCGTGTCGCTGCTGGTGTGTGTGAGCCTGGCTGCCCTGCAGCTCTGGCACCTCAAGGCCTTCTTTGAGCGCAAGAAGCTGTTGTGAGGCAGCCTACCGTAATGCTGAGATGTTTGAAAAATCTTCTGCTGGTGTCTGTGAGCCTCAAGGCCCTGTTTGAGCGCTAGAAAGCTGCTGTTAAGCAGCCAGTTGTACCGTATTAGGGAATAATGCTATTATCCTGTCAACTAGAGGAATGAATTGATAGGTTAGGCAGGATATTGTACACTGACAAGGTCTTAATATGCTACTGTACCTTCACACTTGGCCCTGCTCTTTAATTGTGCAGCAGACCCATCTCAACACTGAAAAATACCATTGTGATGCACCTTCCCTTATTTTTTCACAGGTAAATACAAGCCCCTGCTGCTCTAGCTAGCAATTGCTGCAACACATTACTGTAAGGAAATTCCCTTTTCCTTACTTCGCGTCCCTGCCCAGCGCGTACGTCACTGTAGCACCTCAGTCAGCACCGTTACCACTCGCGACCATCGCATCATTCATCATCCCGCCTTTTTCGCACATCGCATCCCGACCTCACGGCTCGGCTGGTAACCCGCGCTCCGGGCCTACGCTTCGACACTTTCCCAACCTCAGTCCCAGGCTCGACGCGCGACAACCACAGTCCATTACCGTTACCACTATTGTTTCGCTATATAATCCTTCGCTCATGCCTTCGCTCATTGTACTTTTGCTTCGATAGTGCAATTCTCGTTCCTTCACTCAATTGCACACGTAACACTTGGTATTCAGAGCCTACGATCTCATCTCGGACCGCATCCACACCTTCGCTTCCCACTATCTCATTTTTTGGGGGGGGTAGACGTCTCTCAGCGACACAGCACCGCCGCTCGAAGTGCTCTCTCGCAAGCACGCACGGCCACGACCGAGGCTCTCGCTGAGCTTGCCCGACACCCCCGCCATGGCCGACCTCAATCTCGCCACGTTGACGCAGGAGCAACTCGATCGTCTCGTGCGACAATTGGAGGATTCGGCGCTTGAAATCGCGACGCTCACGGCGGAACGTGACTCCGCCCGTCAACAGTCAACGGTGAATGCTCCGACAACATCCCACGCACCAACCAATGTCTCTGTACATTCGGAGGAGCCGATTATCATTTCATCCGGCACACCAACGCAACACAACAGCACGGGACAGCGCTCAGGCGCAGCCAGTGACGGCGCAGCCCAACCGATGCCCGGCATGGGAGGGAACAGGAGCACGCTAAGCCCACGGGAGCCCCGAGAAGCCCGTCGGCACGTGGAGTTTGCAACAACAAGTGGTGAAAACGCCATGATGGCCCCAATGCCACTCAAGCCGCAACGCCCGCCCTGCTTCGACCCAAGCCAACGCGGCGGCCCGACAGTTCAATCGTGGGTCTTCACGATGAATGTGTTTTTCGACGCCAACTACGTCGAGTCGGACGCCGCCAAGATTCGGTATGCGGTTTCACTACTCAGGGGCCCCGCCATGGACTGGTGGCGAGTCATCGTGACGTCGCCACGCGCCTACGAGCCACCGTCGCACGAGGAAGGGCCCTCGGGTCCAGCTGTCACCTGGATTTCGTTCTGCGAAACAGCCCAATACAGCACGTGGGATGCGTGGTGCGCAGGGCTTCGGGCGCGTTTTGAGCCGATCGCGGCTTCGATTTCGGCGCGTCAGAAACTGCGCACTTGGCGCCAGCTCGGGTCGGTTCAAGACTACACCAGCGGTTTTCTCGCACTTTGCGAACAGGTCGGCTACATGCACGAGGCGGAGCGGGTGGACCGTTACGTCGGAGGGCTGAAGCCGGACATATCGCACGAGATAATGCTACGCGGGCTATCGAATTTCAACGAAATCCTCGCGCTCGCCGAGAAAATCGATATCCTACGCCGACCGAGACCGGGGTCCTATTTCGGACATCGCCCTCGGGGACCGATCGAGCACGCCACTGTACATGCCGTCGCAACGAATGCAGCTGCCACGCCATTTAGAGGGCGCTGCTTTGCTTGCAACCGGCCGGGCCATCGCAAGAGCGAATGTCCAGAGGAGCTGAGGCGTCGAGGAGCAGAGCAGGGGAAGGAGTCTCAGAGGCAGGGAAACGCCAGCAGTCAGTAGAAGTTGGGCCAACTACTGACGAGACTGCCTGCTCGCCCAACCACACCGACCCTCACCGAGTCAC